GGCTTGGCATGAGCCGGGTTCGGCCCGAACCACCCGCTGCCGACCCTCCCCCCCCCCACCTTCCCCCTTTATAAGCACTTTTATCCTGAAACCACTTCCCGCTTCATTGTTGGATCTGGCCCCTCTCTCCTTGCTCCTTGTCTCCTTGGCCCCCCATCAGGAAGATACTGCCTACACCAGTTCTACCTCCCCCTCGCCTCCCACTCCGCCCCCCCACTTGCAGCCTTTGTCTGCTTCTCAGAACCTTCCTGCCCTGGTTTGGCTCCCTCAGACCCTGCCACGACAGCTCCACCCCTGCCACGTCAGCTCCAGGGCTATCCGCCACGAGAACCCGTCGACCAATCAGATCGAGCGGAGGAAACTGGATTCTAGCGAAGCTCGTAGGAAACTGGATTCTAGTGAAGCTCGTAGAAATGGCTATGTCACAGCAACGAAGTAGAAGCACAGTGTTGGTCGCGAAACGCCTCACGGGAGGCTTACGCGGCCTTAACGGGGCCTCGACGAGGCCTTTACTCAACCCTGACGCGATCCTGAGGCGATTCTGCTTCGCGTGGTCTTCACTGATCCTTCACGGGGCTTTCGCGGGCCCTACACTCGAGTGAAACAGGGTTCGGCCCTTCGCAGGGCTTTGACGGGAGTCTCGCGGCTGAAATTTCCGTCACTAATGCTTGTCTAAGCCTTCCACAAAGGCTTCTCCGTAGGTTTGACGCGAATCTGACGGGAGTCTCATCAAATGCTCAAAGTTTCGACCAATCAGGATTGAACACAATGTTTGAAGCGATAGAATTTCAAAGTGTTACTTCAACAACCTGGTACAACAAATATATAGGTTCAAGCAAGGTACAAAATGGGCTAGGTAACAAAACGTGTCCAACACGTTACGTGGCGCCTCGTTTCACCCCGCGTCGCACACGCAACCTTTCTCCACCTTCGTCGAACGCGCCTGAAGTCCGCATTTGGTTCCTTGCTGAACACGCCACAGTTGACCCACACAATTTCCCCCCGTCGATCACTTTCTCCTCACTTCCTCCTCGTCAATGTCTTCCTTCCATACTTCTCTTGCCGTAGCTCATACTCCCAAGCAATGTCGTAGTTTCCTCTCTAGTTCCCAAGGCACTGTCAACACGCCACCGTCAGTCCGTCTTAGTCGTCGGTCCGAATAATGAGCGCCGTCGTTAGTGTGGTTCTGCGAACCACTCCAACACACACGACTGCTCGTCCCATTTATTAGTCGGTCAGATTTGAATCAGCGTCCCGATATACCCTAACCAACCAGCCTAGGTATCAAATTGACCGTTGTAGAACCAGCTGAACCGACAATTGTCCAAGCTTTAGGAGGAATCTGGTAACCGGTTGTACCCGATACGGGCAGATGCACTTCAGCTACAGAGGGTACCGGTGAACTTCTACTCTGATACAAACATAAGCCACAATTTCGTTACAATACAAAGAGTACAGGAATAACAAACAAGGGCACCAGCATGACTACATCCCTGAATCAGTCATCACCATCCGTCCCTAAACACAATTGTCCAAACCTTAATAACCAACCCATATCCGAGGTACACAAAAGACAATCCCGTTCCTCCAGAGGAAACTTACCAGTACCTTTTCATCCGCAGCATTGCACCACAAAGCAGAAAAAATACACCACCACCACCACCCGCTGTATCAGCACAACGCACATGCCCTTTTCCAGTCTCCCAGATATCATCACGCTGTCTTTTTTTCATTTGTTGCCCTTGGTTGTTCCTGAGTGAGGAATCCTCTTCACGCATCATCAGTACCACACCACACCACACCATATCTAGAACGCAACGCGAAAAGCCGTCGGTGTCACTATTTCGCTCGCACGTGGATTTTGGACTCGACAAAACAACAGCTTGAAAAGCTTTCAACTGATGATGGAAGTGATGATGGAATCACTCGCACGCCACTTTGGTATCGAAACTGCTCAGGCAAATGGCAAACGCCTGCACGCATAATGTAGGGAAAACACACATGACGTGGGAACACATACAAAGCAGAAAACAATCCGTCAGACATGTGATATGAAGCAAGGAAAGCACATGTGACATGTCACATGTGGGCACGCACAAAGAAAACAGCCCAGAAGGCAAGGGGAAGAGAACACGGGGAGACGGGAGATGGGGAAAGCGTATTGACACGATACCCAAAGACAAACCTGAGGAAACACCTGGCCGTCCACACTTACCTGGAAGGCCGTGAGTGGATATCTGTAGTCCATGGTGAATGTGTCCTTGCCAATCTTCCCAACTGCAGCAACACCGGCTTGCATGCGTATCAATACCTGAAAGGAAACTCACCCTGAACACGCAGCACTACCCACCTGGAAGGCCGTGAGCGGGTATCTGTAGTCCATGGTGAATGTGTCCTTGCCGATCTTGCCAAACTGCAGCAGCAGCACTGGCAGAGCACCGATTTTTAACCACATGAAACAGCACTTCACTACCCACCTGGAGTCAGTAAGCGGGTATCTGTTATCCATGGTGAAAGTGTCCTTGCCAATCTTCCCACAATGCAGGAGCACTGGCTTATCAGAGTCGTTCCCCGGTCCGCTCTTCTCTATGAGCTACCCTCAGCCAAACAGAGCAGCACGCACTTGGCACATGCACTACGCACCTGGAAGGCCGTAAGCGGGTATCTGTAGTCCATGGTAAAGGTGTCCTTTCCGATCTTGCCAAACTGCAGCAGCAGCACCGGCAGGGCTCCGAACCATACACACTAGCATTCAAAGAAGAAGCACCCACCTGGAAGGCAGTAAGCGGGTATCTGTAGTCCATGGTGAACGTGTCCTTGCCAATCTTCCCACACTGCAGCAGCACTGGCTTATCAGAGTCGTTCCCCGGTCCGCTCCCCTCTATGAGCTACCCTCAGCCAAACAGAGCAGCACGCACTTGGCACATGCACTACGCACCTGGAAGGCCGTAAGCGGGTATCTGTAGTCCATGGTAAAGGTGTCCTTTCCGATCTTGCCAAACTGCAGCAGCAGCACCGGCAGGGCTCCGAACCATACACACTAGCATTCAAAGAAGAAGCACCCACCTGGAAGGCAGTAAGCGGGTATCTGTAGTCCATGGTGAACGTGTCCTTGCCAATCTTCCCAAACTGCAGCAACACCTTCAGGGCACCGCACCATACACACCAGCACTTGTGCTAGAATAACACACCTGGAAGGCCGTGAGTGGATATCTGTAGTCCATAGTAAAAGCGTCCTTGTCAATCTTCCCGAACTGCAGCAGCACCGGCTTGTCCGAGTCGTTCCCCGGCCCGCCCCCCCTCTATCAGCTGAAAATTCTTCACTGATGCTACTGTCACGCGGCCACGGAAGTTGAGGCACCAACACTGCAAGGGAGTACGGGAAAGGGGAGGCGGGTAGGGGGTGGGAAAGGGGGGAGCAGCACCGGCTTGTCAGAGTCGTTCCCCCGGCCCGCCCCCCCTCGATCAGCTGGAAGTTCTTCACTGAAGCCACTGTCACTCGCCCCCTGAAGTTCAAGCACCAGCACTGGCAGTGTGGGAGGGGGAGGGCAGGCAAGGGGAGGCAAGGGCGGGATGAGAAGGGGGCTTGTCCGAGTCGTTCCCCGCCCCCCCCCCCCCCTCTATCAGCTGGAAATTCTTCACAGAAGCACCCCCTGTCACTCGCCCCTTGAAGTTGAGGCACCAGCACTGGAAGCGTGTATGGGATGGACAGGAAAAGGGGATGCAAGGGAGGATTGGAAGGGCCTTATTTGAGATGCTCCCCGGCCCACCCTCCTCTATCAGCTGGAATTTGTTCACCGAAGCAACCGTTACTCGCCCTCTGAAGTTGAGGCACCAGCACTGGAAGGCGAGGAGGGGAGGCGAGGGGAGGGGAGGGAGCGCTCGGCCCAATGTTTCATGATAGATTTCGCTTTCTAATCTGTAATTGCCTTCCTCAATACACACACACCTGCAGCTGCGCGTGCCACCGGGGAGGCTTGTTCCTCGATACCACAGTCTCTAGGGGCGCTCGGCCCATGATAAAAAGCTTTATATTGCCCTATACTCCCATATACTCCCTTATACTCCTTTGCACTCCTCCATATCCCCTTGTATCCCCTCACCTGCAGCTGCTCGTGCCATCTGCGAGACTTGTTCCGCAACGCCATGGGCTCCAGAGGCGCTCGGCCTCATACTCCCTTGAACTACCCTGTACTCCCGTGCACCGCTTCCCACCCCCCAGCACCCACACACATACCTGCAGCTGCTCGTGCCATCTGGGAGGCTTGTTCCGCAACACCATGGGCTCTAAGGGCGCTCGGCTTCATCTATTTCCATACGAACACCGCTTAATACTCCCCTGTACTGCTGTGCACCGCTCCTCATTCCCCAATAAACACACATACCTGCAGCTGCTCGTGCCATCTGGGTGGCTTGTTCCGCAACACCATGGGCTCTAGAGGCGCTCGGCCGATGCACCGCACACAGTCACACTCCGTACAGTCACCCTCAGTGTCACCCTCCGCATCTGCCTCTGCATTGAAAGCAGGAGGCGCAGCAGCAGGGGAAGGAGCAGCAGAAGCAGAAGGAGCAGCAGGAAGGGCGGCAGGAGACGGGGCAGACGAAGCAGCAAATGGGGGAGTCGCAGCTGCAGCAGGGAGAGAGGAAGGGGTGAATGGGGGAGTCAAGGGACCCGAGGGGAGAGAGGAGGAGGCGAACGGGGGAGTGACAGCCGCCGCAGCTCTGGCACCTGCTGCTGCTGCTTCTGGTGAAGCCACAGCTCTTGCTGCTGCTGCTTCTGGTGAAGCCACAGCTCTTGCTGCTGCTGCTTCTGACCATGCCGTTCCGCTTGCTGTTGCTGCTGATGCTGCTGCTGCTGCTGCTGTTAGTGCCGCTTCTAGTTCCAATGTGGGCAAGGCAGGGGCAGGGGCAGGGGCAGGGGCAGGGGCAGGGGCAGGGCAAGGGCAGGGCGGCAGGGGGAAGCTCAAGGGCAGCAGGGGGAAGGAAGGGGTCCGCGGAGGCGGGGAAGGGGGAGATATGAAGGCCTTCGCTGCCGCTGCTTTCCTGGAAACCTCCGCCTTGCGTGATTTGAGTTGACTCAAAAGCCACCTGGAAACCTCCGCCTTGCAACCAACCCTGATTGCCCTCCTGCTCACTCCTTCCCTCTCCACTGCTCTCCTGCTGCTCACACGCGCCGTCTGTCGGCCAATCCCCACACTCCTCCTGCTGATTCCCCTCCTCTAAACTCCCGTCCTCCGGACTGCTCTCCTCTTGACTCTTCTTCTCCCACTGCCCCCCTGCTTCCACACCCTCCTCTCGCATGCTCTGCTGCTCATTGCTCTCCTCCTTACCACTGCTCCCCATTCTCTCTCCCGCACCCATCTCTTCCCCACTCTCTGGGAACGAGACCAAGGGCTCTCTTGTGCAGATTGTGGGTGGTGACCTTGCTTCCCTCGCTTCCCTTGCTTCCTCCGCTGCTGTGCATTCTTGCTTCTCGCCCTCCCCCTCCTCTTCTCCACTCCCAGTGAGCCTCACCAGCAATCTCTCCTCCTCCTCCCTCTCCTCCTTCTCTTGCCTCTCCTCGGTCTCGTTCTTCCTCCTCTCCTCTCCCGTCCCCTCCTCCCTCTCTACCTCCCCTCTCTCCACTCTCTTCCCCTCCCCTCTCTCTCCCTTCCCCTCTTCCTCCCGCCCTCCCACTCTCCCTTCAGTCACTTCTTCTACAGTCACCTCCTCTCTCTCCCCCCCTCCCCACTCAAACTCACTCACAATCCCCCCCGCCTCCCCCTTCCCCCCACTGAGCCTGTATGCGCAAGAACGGGCGGCGGGAGAGGCGGAAGACAGCGCGGAAGAGGGAAGCTTCGAGCAAGGGGGGAAGGCGGAAGCGGGGAATGTGCGCGGAGGCTTGACGATACCGCTGCTGACGTGGCCGTGTCAGCGTCATTTGCGCCGTTACAATCGCCCCGACCACCAATGGCGCTGCCGCTGCCACTACTGCTGGTAATACCTGCGCCGAGTAATCCTGTCCCGTCGCTACCCCTGCTACAGCTGGCGCCGCTACAGCTGGAACCGTTAAAGCTGCCCAAGTTACCGTTACACGCGACAGGGGTGCCGGCCCCTCTGCTGCCCGTGCTGCTGCTGCCACAGTTGTAACCACAATGGTGGTTACCACACCGATTGCTACAGTGGTTACAGTGGTGGTAACCGTTGGCGGAAAAAGCGGCTCCGCGGGGATGCACCTTGCGGCTGCTGCTGCTGCTTCCGCCGTGCGCCAGCGACGCCGCGCCGAGAGAAAACGCGGGCTGCACGAGGAAATGCGCAGGAAATGCGGCGCGGGGGGGACGGGAGGGCGGAGGGGGGGGGGGGGGGGGGGGGGGGGTGAGGGTGAGGAGGGGAGGGAGAGGAATGGGGGGGCAGGCGAAACGGTAAAATTGGCGCAAATTAACGGACGCCGAGAGGAGCTTCGACAGTTTTGGGCTTGGAAGATAAATACTGCGTTACTGGGTGCAATTTTTCTCGCCTATGGCATTCGCGACAGCTTTCTTACACCCTGGGTGTCGAGCGCTATGGTAGCTGCGGCGGATCCGTCAAGACAATATACACTACGAAAGAAGAACTCCAATACTGTAGCAAATACGGGTGCGGGTTGAAGAGCCGTAAGCTTCTTCTAGAAGTCTTCACATCCAAGTTACCCCTAACTACTCAAACTCTAAAACACCTCGGTTGAAGGAGTGTAACCTTCTTAATATTGTGTGAAAAAAGTCTATTCTAAGACGACTCAAAAGTCGGTTGTAGAACTGTAACCTTCCTAACATTGTGCGATGCGAACGAACTCAGGTTTCATCGCTCACCTCGTGCGACGATTCAAAGACGGCAAATCGCGTGCTTAGGAAATTCGCTCGCAGGCGACCGACGAACGAACTTCCGCCGCGCGAAAAGTCTTTCGGATCCAGCGAGACCACGTACTCCATGCTGGAATGATTTCGAAAGTTGCGAAACAGAGCGAAACGGACACAATAGGGTGACCAGCACAAACACTTTTTCCATGCAAACGTGAATTTGCGAGACACAAACTCAGGTGTGCGATTTGAAGCGAACGAAGGCATTAGCGTAACCAGCACAAACAAGGGTTTGTTAAACGGGCAGAATAGGGCTACAAGCACAAACACCAACTCCGGTTTAGGGTCAAACGATTTTTTAAAGCAGTCGGCTATCCGCTTACCTTGACGGCCGCCAGCCGCACTTGCGCGCCGCGAGCAGGAACTTGCCGTTCTCCGTCGAATTCGGCGGCACGCCCAGAAACAGCGTGAACGTGCCGGTCTTGCGCGAGCGGCGAATGAAGCACTCCACGCAGCGGTCGCGGGTCCTTCTGTTCCCGCCCCCCCCCGCTCCTCCCCCCCACCTCCTCCTCTATCTCCCTCATAGCTTCCATCAGTGGGGAATCATGCTGAAGCCTCGCCATGCCCTCCTTATAAGCACCTCTCCTTCTGTCACTCTCCTGCTCCTTCACGTGCTGCTGCTCCTGCTGCCCCTTCTTCCCCTTACCGCCCTTCTTGCCTTGCCCAGTTGCCTCATTTGAACTAGCACCACCAGCAGCAGCACCACCAGCAACAGCAGCACCACCAGTACCACTAGCACCATTGGTACTACTGTTAGCACTGCTTGGTTTAACAAACACGGGAGCTGCAATTGGGAGGTTCGGGCTTGGCATGAGCCGGGTTCGGCCCGAACCACCCGCTGCCGAACCTCCCCCACCCCCACCTTCCCCCTTTATAAGCACTTTTATCCCTGAAACCACTTCCCGCTTCATTGTTGGGATCTGGCCCCTCTCTCCTTGCTCCTTGTCTCCTTGGCCCCCCATCAGGAAGATACTGCCTACACCAGTTCTACCTCCCCCTCGCCTCCCACTCGCCCCCCCACTTGCAGCCTTTGTCTGCTTCTCAGAACCTTCCTGCCCTGGTTTGGCTCCCTCAGACCCTGCCACGACAGCTCCACCCCCTGCCACGTCAGCTCCAGGGCTATCCGCCACGAGAACCCGTCGACCAATCAGATCGAGCGGAGGAAAACTGGATTCTAGCGAAGCTCGTAGAAAACTGGATTCTAGTGAAGCTCGTAGAAATGGCTATGTCACAGCAACGAAGTAGAAGCACAGTGTTGGTCGCGAAACGCCTCACGGGAGGCTTACGCGGCCTTAACGGGGCCTCGACGAGGCCTTTACTCAACCCTGACGCGATCCTGAGGCGATTTCTGCTTCGCGTGGTCTTCACTGATCCTTCACGGGGCTTTCGCGGGCCCTACACTCGAGTGAAACAGGTTCGGCCCTTCGCAGGGCTTTGACGGGAGTCTCGCGGCTGAAATTTCCGTCACTAATGCTTGTCTAAGCCTTCACAAAGGCTTCTCCGTAGGTTTGACGCGAATCTGACGGGAGTCTCATCAAATGCTCAAAGTTTCGACCAATCAGGATTGAACACAATGTTTGAAGCGATAGAATTTCAAAGTGTTACTTCAACAACCTGGTACAACAAATATATAGGTTCAAGCAAGGTACAAAATGGGCTAGGTAACAAAACGTGTCCAACACGTTACGTGGCGCCTCGTTTCACCCCGCGTCGCACACGCAACCTTTCTCCACCTTCGTCGAACGCGCCTGAAGTCCGCATTTGGTTCCTTGCTGAACACGCCACAGTTGACCCACACAATTTCCCCCCGTCGATCACTTTCTCCTCACTTCCTCCTCGTCAATGTCTTCCTTCCATACTTCTCTTGCCGTAGCTCATACTCCCAAGCAATGTCGTAGTTTCCTCTCTAGTTCCCAAGGCACTGTCAACACGCCACCGTCAGTCCGTCTTAGTCGTCGGTCCGAATAATGAGCGCCGTCGTTAGTGTGGTTCTGCGAACCACTCCAACACACACGACTGCTCGTCCCATTTATTAGTCGGTCAGATTTGAATCAGCGTCCCGATATACCCTAACCAACCAGCCTAGGTATCAAATTGACCGTTGTAGAACCAGCTGAACCGACAATTGTCCAAGCTTTAGGAGGAATCTGGTAACCGGTTGTACCCGATACGGGCAGATGCACTTCAGCTACAGAGGTACCGTGAACTTCTACTCTGATACAAACATAAGCCACAATTTCGTTACAATACAAAGAGTACAGGAATAACAAACAAGGGCACCAGCATGACTACATCCCTGAATCAGTCATCACCATCCGTCCCTAAACACAATTGTCCAAACCTTAATAACCAACCCATATCCGAGGTACACAAAAGACAATCCCGTTCCTCCAGAGGAAACTTACCAGTACCTTTTCATCCGCAGCATTGCACCACAAAGCAGAAAAAATACACCACCACCACCACCCGCTGTATCAGCACAACGCACATGCCCTTTTCCAGTCTCCCAGATATCATCACGCTGTCTTTTTTTCATTTGTTGCCCGTGGTTGTTCCTGAGTGAGGAATCCTCTTCACGCATCATCAGTACCACACCACACCACACCATATCTAGAACGCAACGCGAAAAGCCGTCGGTGTCACTATTTCGCTCGCACGTGGATTTTGGACTCGACAAAACAACAGCTTGAAAAGCTTTCAACTGATGATGGAAGTGATGATGGAATCACTCGCACGCCACTTTGGTATCGAAACTGCTCAGGCAAATGGCAAACGCCTGCACGCATAATGTAGGGAAAACACACATGACGTGGGAACACATACAAAGCAGAAAACAATCCGTCAGACATGTGATATGAAGCAAGGAAAGCACATGTGACATGTGACATGTGGGCACGCACAAAGAAAACAGCCCAGAAGGCAAGGGGAAGAGAACACGGGGAGACGGGAGATGGGGAAAGCGTATTGACACGATACCCAAAGACAAACCTGAGGAAACACCTGGCCGTCCACACTTACCTGGAAGGCCGTGAGTGGATATCTGTAGTCCATGGTGAATGTGTCCTTGCCAATCTTCCCAACTGCAGCAACACCGGCTTGCATGCGTATCAATACCTGAAAGGAAACTCACCCTGAACACGCAGCACTACCCACCTGGAAGGCCGTGAGCGGGTATCTGTAGTCCATGGTGAATGTGTCCTTGCCGATCTTGCCAAACTGCAGCAGCAGCACTGGCAGAGCACCGATTTTTAACCACATGAAACAGCACTTCACTACCCACCTGGAGTCAGTAAGCGGGTATCTGTTATCCATGGTGAAAGTGTCCTTGCCAATCTTCCCACACTGCAGCAGCACTGGCTTATCAGAGTCGTTCCCCGGTCCGCTCCTCTCTATGAGCTACCCTCAGCCAAACAGAGCAGCACGCACTTGGCACATGCACTACGCACCTGGAAGGCCGTAAGCGGGTATCTGTAGTCCATGGTAAAGGTGTCCTTTCCGATCTTGCCAAACTGCAGCAGCAGCACCGGCAGGGCTCCGAACCATACACACTAGCATTCAAAGAAGAAGCACCCACCTGGAAGGCAGTAAGCGGGTATCTGTAGTCCATGGTGAACGTGTCCTTGCCAATCTTCCCACACTGCAGCAGCACTGGCTTATCAGAGTCGTTCCCCGGTCCGCTCCTCTCTATGAGCTACCCTCAGCCAAACAGAGCAGCACGCACTTGGCACATGCACTACGCACCTGGAAGGCCGTAAGCGGGTATCTGTAGTCCATGGTAAAGGTGTCCTTTCCGATCTTGCCAAACTGCAGCAGCAGCACCGGCAGGGCTCCGAACCATACACACTAGCATTCAAAGAAGAAGCACCCACCTGGAAGGCAGTAAGCGGGTATCTGTAGTCCATGGTGAACGTGTCCTTGCCAATCTTCCCAAACTGCAGCAACACCTTCAGGGCACCGCACCATACACACCAGCACTTGTGCTAGAATAACACACCTGGAAGGCCGTGAGTGGATATCTGTAGTCCATAGTAAAAGCGTCCTTGTCAATCTTCCCGAACTGCAGCAGCACCGGCTTGTCCGAGTCGTTCCCCGGCCCGCCCCCCTCTATCAGCTGAAAATTCTTCACTGATGCTACTGTCACGCGGCCACGGAAGTTGAGGCACCAACACTGCAAGGGAGTACGGGAAAGGGGAGGCGGGTAGGGGGTGGGAAAGGGGGGAGCAGCACCGGCTTGTCAGAGTCGTTCCCCGGCCCGCCCCCCTCGATCAGCTGGAAGTTCTTCACTGAAGCCACTGTCACTCGCCCCCTGAAGTTCAAGCACCAGCACTGGCAGTGTGGGAGGGGGAGGGCAGGCAAGGGGAGGCAAGGGCGGGATGAGAAGGGGGCTTGTCCGAGTCGTTCCCCGCCCCCCCCCCCCCCTCTATCAGCTGGAAATTCTTCACAGAAGCACCCCCTGTCACTCGCCCCCTGAAGTTGAGGCACCAGCACTGGAAGCGTGTATGGGATGGACAGGAAAAGGGGATGCAAGGGAGGATTGGAAGGGCCTTATTTGAGATGCTCCCCGGCCCACCCTCCTCTATCAGCTGGAAGTTGTTCACCGAAGCAACCGTTACTCGCCCTCTGAAGTTGAGGCACCAGCACTGGAAGGCGAGGAGGGGAGGCGAGGGGAGGGGAGGGAGCGCTCGGCCCAATGTTTCATGATAGATTTCGCTTTCTAATCTGTAATTGCCTTCCTCAATACACACACACCTGCAGCTGCGCGTGCCACCGGGGAGGCTTGTTCCTCGATACCACAGTCTCTAGGGGCGCTCGGCCCATGATAAAAAGCTTTATATTGCCCTATACTCCCATATACTCCCTTATACTCCTTTGCACTCCTCCATATCCCCTTGTATCCCCTCACCTGCAGCTGCTCGTGCCATCTGCGAGACTTGTTCCGCAACGCCATGGGCTCCAGAGGCGCTCGGCCTCATACTCCCTTGAACTACCCTGTACTCCCGTGCACCGCTTCCCACCCCCCAGCACCCACACACATACCTGCAGCTGCTCGTGCCATCTGGGAGGCTTGTTCCGCAACACCATGGGCTCTAAGGGCGCTCGGCTTCATCTATTTCCATACGAACACCGCTTAATACTCCCCTGTACTGCTGTGCACCGCTCCTCATTCCCCAATAAACACACATACCTGCAGCTGCTCGTGCCATCTGGGTGGCTTGTTCCGCAACACCATGGGCTCTAGAGGCGCTCGGCACACAGTCACACTCCGTACAGTCACCCTCAGTGTCACCCTCCGCATCTGCCTCTGCATTGAAAGCAGGAGGCGCAGCAGCAGGGGAAGGAGCAGCAGAAGCAGAAGGAGCAGCAGGAAGGGCGGCAGGAGACGGGGCAGACGAAGCAGCAAATGGGGGAGTCGCAGCTGCAGCAGGGAGAGAGGAAGGGGTGAATGGGGGAGTCAAGGGACCCGAGGGGAGAGAGGAGGAGGCGAACGGGGGAGTGACAGCCGCCGCAGCTCTGGCACCTGCTGCTGCTGCTTCTGGTGAAGCCACAGCTCTTGCTGCTGCTGCTTCTGGTGAAGCCACAGCTCTTGCTGCTGCTGCTTCTGACCATGCCGTTCCGCTTGCTGTTGCTGCTGATGCTGCTGCTGCTGCTGCTGCTGTTGGTGCCGCTTCTAGTTCCAATGTGGGCAAGGGCAGGGGCAGGGCAGGGGCAGGGGCAGGGGCAGGGGCAGGGGCAGGGGCAGGGGCAGGGGCAAGGGCAGGGCGGCAGGGGGAAGCTCAAGGGCAGCAGGGGGAAGGAAGGGGTCCGCGGAGGCGGGGAAGGGGGAGATATGAAGGCCTTCGCTGCCGCTGCTTTCCTGGAAACCTCCGCCTTGCGTGATTTGAGTTGACTCAAAAGCCACCTGGAAACCTCCGCCTTGCAACCAACCCTGATTGCCCTCCTGCTCACTCCTTCCCTCTCCACTGCTCTCCTGCTGCTCACACGCGCCGTCTGTCGGCCAATCCCCACACTCCTCCTGCTGATTCCCCTCCTCTAAACTCCCGTCCTCCGGACTGCTCTCCTCTTGACTCTTCTTCTCCCACTGCCCCCCTGCTTCCACACCCTCCTCTCGCATGCTCTGCTGCTCATTGCTCTCCTCCTTACCACTGCTCCCCATTCTCTCTCCCGCACCCATCTCTTCCCCACTCTCTGGGAACGAGACCAAGGGCTCTCTTGTGCAGATTGTGGGTGGTGACCTTGCTTCCCTCGCTTCCCTTGCTTCCTCCGCTGCTGTGCATTCTTGCTTCTCGCCCTCCCCCTCCTCTTCTCCACTCCCAGTGAGCCTCACCAGCAATCTCTCCTCCTCCTCCCTCTCCTCCTTCTCTTGCCTCTCCTCGGTCTCGTTCTTCCTCCTCTCCTCTCCCGTCCCCTCCTCCCTCTCTACCTCCCCTCTCTCCACTCTCTTCCCCTCCCCTCTCTCTCCCTTCCCCTCTTCCTCCCGCCCTCCCACTCTCCCTTCAGTCACTTCTTCTACAGTCACCTCCTCTCTCTCCCCCCCTCCCCACTCAAACTCACTCACAATCCCCCCCGCCTCCCCCTTCCCCCCACTGAGCCTGTATGCGCAAGAACGGGCGGCGGGAGAGGCGGAAGACAGCGCGGAAGAGGGAAGCTTCGAGCAAGGGGGGAAGGCGGAAGCGGGGAATGTGCGCGGAGGCTTGACGATACCGCTGCTGACGTGGCCGTGTCAGCGTCATTTGCGCCAGTTACAATCGCCCCGACCACCAATGGCGCTGCCGCTGCCACTACTGCTGGTAATACCTGCGCCGAGTAATCCTGTCCCGTCGCTACCCCTGCTACAGCTGGCGCCGCTACAGCTGGAACCGTTAAAGCTGCCCAAGTTACCGTTACACGCGACAGGGGTGCCGGCCCCTCTGCTGCCCGTGCTGCTGCTGCCACAGTTGTAACCACAATGGTGGTTACCACACCGATTGCTACAGTGGTTACAGTGGTGGTAACCGTTGGCGGAAAAAGCGGCTCCGCGGGGATGCACCTTGCGGCTGCTGCTGCTGCTTCCGCCGTGCGCCAGCGACGCCGCGCCGAGAGAAAACGCGGGCTGCACGAGGAAATGCGCAGGAAATGCGGCGCGGGGGGGACGGGAGGGCGGAGGGGGGGGGGGGGGGGGGGGGGGGGTGAGGGTGAGGAGGGGAGGGAGAGGAATGGGGGGGCAGGCGAAACGGTAAAATTGGCGCAAATTAACGGACGCCGAGAGGAGCTTCGACAGTTTTGGGCTTGGAAGATAAATACTGCGTTACTGGGTGCAATTTTTCTCGCCTATGGCATTCGCGACAGCTTTCTTACACCCTGGGTGTCGAGCGCTATGGTAGCTGCGGCGGATCCGTCAAGACAATATACACTACGAAAGAAGAACTCCAATACTGTAGCAAATACGGGTGCGGGTTGAAGAGCCGTAAGCTTCTTCTAGAAGTCTTCACATCCAAGTTACCCCTAACTACTCAAACTCTAAAACACCTCGGTTGAAGGAGTGTAACCTTCTTAATATTGTGTGAAAAAAGTCTATTCTAAGACGACTCAAAAGTCGGTTGTAGAACTGTAACCTTCCTAACATTGTGCGATGCGAACGAACTCAGGTTTCATCGCTCACCTCGTGCGACGATTCAAAGACGGCAAATCGCGTGCTTAGGAAATTCGCTCGCAGGCGACCGACGAACGAACTTCCGCCGCGCGAAAAGTCTTTCGGATCCAGCGAGACCACGTACTCCATGCTGGAATGATTTCGAAAGTTGCGAAACAGAGCGAAACGGACACAATAGGGTGACCAGCACAAACACTTTTTCCATGCAAACGTGAATTTGCGAGACACAAACTCAGGTGTGCGATTTGAAGCGAACGAAGGCATTAGCGTAACCAGCACAAACAAGGGTTTGTTAAACGGGCAGAATAGGGCTACAAGCACAAACACCAACTCCGGTTTAGGGTCAAACGATTTTTTAAAGCAGTCGGCTATCCGCTTACCTTGACGGCCGCCAGCCGCACTTGCGCGCCGCGAGCAGGAACTTGCCGTTCTCCGTCGAATTCGGCGGCACGCCCAGAAACAGCGTGAACGTGCCGGTCTTGCGCGAGCGGCGAATGAAGCACTCCACGCAGCGGTCGCGGGTCCTTCTGTTCCCGCCCCCCCCGCTCCTCCCCCCCACCTCCTCCTCTATCTCCCTCATAGCTTCCATCAGTGGGGAATCATGCTGAAGCCTCGCCATGCCCTCCTTATAAGCACCTCTCCTTCTGTCACTCTCCTGCTCCTTCACGTGCTGCTGCTCCTGCTGCCCCTTCTTCCCCTTACCGCCCTTCTTGCCTTGCCCAGTTGCCTCATTTGAACTAGCACCACCAGCAGCAGCACCACCAGCAACAGCAGCACCACCAGTACCACTAGCACCATTGGTACTACTGTTAGCACTGCTTGGTTTAACAAACACGGGAGCTGCAATTGGGAGGTTCGGGCTTGGCATGAGCCGGGTTCGGCCCGAACCACCCGCTGCCGAACCTCCCCCACCCCCACCTTCCCCCTTTATAAGCACTTTTATCCCTGAAACCACTTCCCGCTTCATTGTTGGGATCTGGCCCCTCTCTCCTTGCTCCTTGTCTCCTTGGCCCCCCATCAGGAAGATACTGCCTACACCAGTTCTACCTCCCCCTCGCCTCCCACTCGCCCCCCCACTTGCAGCCTTTGTCTGCTTCTCAGAACCTTCCTGCCCTGGTTTGGCTCCCTCAGACCCTGCCACGACAGCTCCACCCCCTGCCACGTCAGCTCCAGGGCTATCCGCCACGAGAACCCGTCGACCAATCAGATCGAGCGGAGGAAAACTGGATTCTAGCGAAGCTCGTAGAAAACTGGATTCTAGTGAAGCTCGTAGAAATGGCTATGTCACAGCAACGAAGTAGAAGCACAGTGTTGGTCGCGAAACGCCTCACGGGAGGCTTACGCGGCCTTAACGGGGCCTCGACGAGGCCTTTACTCAACCCTGACGCGATCCTGAGGCGATTTCTGCTTCGCGTGGTCTTCACTGATCCTTCACGGGGCTTTCGCGGGCCCTACACTCGAGTGAAACAGGTTCGGCCCTTCGCAGGGCTTTGACGGGAGTCTCGCGGCTGAAATTTCCGTCACTAATGCTTGTCTAAGCCTTCACAAAGGCTTCTCCGTAGGTTTGACGCGAATCTGACGGGAGTCTCATCAAATGCTCAAAGTTTCGACCAATCAGGATTGAACACAATGTTTGAAGCGATAGAATTTCAAAGTGTTACTTCAACAACCTGGTACAACAAATATATAGGTTCAAGCAAGGTACAAAATGGGCTAGGTAACAAAACGTGTCCAACACGTTACGTGGCGCCTCGTTTCACCCCGCGTCGCACACGCAACCTTTCTCCACCTTCGTCGAACGCGCCTGAAGTCCGCATTTGGTTCCTTGCTGAACACGCCACAGTTGACCCACACAATTTCCCCCCGTCGATCACTTTCTCCTCACTTCCTCCTCGTCAATGTCTTCCTTCCATACTTCTCTTGCCGTAGCTCATACTCCCAAGCAATGTCGTAGTTTCCTCTCTAGTTCCCAAGGCACTGTCAACACGCCACCGTCAGTCCGTCTTAGTCGTCGGTCCGAATAATGAGCGCCGTCGTTAGTGTGGTTCTGCGAACCACTCCAACACACACGACTGCTCGTCCCATTTATTAGTCGGTCAGATTTGAATCAGCGTCCCGATATACCCTAACCAACCAGCCTAGGTATCAAATTGACCGTTGTAGAACCAGCTGAACCGACAATTGTCCAAGCTTTAGGAGGAATCTGGTAACCGGTTGTACCCGATACGGGCAGATGCACTTCAGCTACGGAGGTACCGTGAACTTCTACTCTGATACAAACATAAGCCACAATTTCGTTACAATACAAAGAGTACAGGAATAACAAACAAGGGCACCAGCATGACTACATCCCTGAATCAGTCATCACCATCCGTCCCTAAACACAATTGTCCAAACCTTAATAACCAACCCATATCCGAGGTACACAAAAGACAATCCCGTTCCTCCAGAGGAAACTTACCAGTACCTTTTCATCCGCAGCATTGCACCACAAAGCAGAAAAAATACACCACCACCACCACCCGCTGTATCAGCACAACGCACATGCCCTTTTCCAGTCTCCCAGATATCATCACGCTGTCTTTTTTTCATTTGTTGCCCTTGGTTGTTCCTGAGTGAGGAATCCTCTTCACGCATCATCAGTACCACACCACACCACACCATATCTAGAACGCAACGCGAAAAGCCGTCGGTGTCACTATTTCGCTCGCACGTGGATTTTGGACTCGACAAAACAACAGCTTGAAAAGCTTTCAACTGATGATGGAAGTGATGATGGAATCACTCGCACGCCACTTTGGTATCGAAACTGCTCAGGCAAATGGCAAACGCCTGCACGCATAATGTAGGGAAAACACACATGACGTGGGAACACATACAAAGCAGAAAACAATCCGTCAGACATGTGATATGAAGCAAGGAAAGCACATGTGACATGTGACATGTGGGCACGCACAAAGAAAACAGCCCAGAAGGCAAGGGGAAGAGAACACGGGGAGACGGGAGATGGGGAAAGCGTATTGACACGATACCCAAAGACAAACCTGAGGAAACACCTGGCCGTCCACACTTACCTGGAAGGCCGTGAGTGGATATCTGTAGTCCATGGTGAATGTGTCCTTGCCAATCTTCCCAACTGCAGCAACACCGGCTTGCATGCGTATCAATACCTGAAAGGAAACTCACCCTGAACACGCAGCACTACCCACCTGGAAGGCCGTGAGCGGGTATCTGTAGTCCATGGTGAATGTGTCCTTGCCGATCTTGCCAAACTGCAGCAGCAGCACTGGCAGAGCACCGATTTTTAACCACATGAAACAGCACTTCACTACCCACCTGGAGTCAGTAAGCGGGTATCTGTTATCCATGGTGAAAGTGTCCTTGCCAATCTTCCCACACTGCAGCAGCACTGGCTTATCAGAGTCGTTCCCCGGTCCGCTCCTCTCTATGAGCTACCCTCAGCCAAACAGAGCAGCACGCACTTGGCACATGCACTACGCACCTGGAAGGCCGTAAGCGGGTATCTGTAGTCCATGGTAAAGGTGTCCTTTCCGATCTTGCCAAACTGCAGCAGCAGCACCGGCAGGGCTCCGAACCATACACACTAGCATTCAAAGAAGAAGCACCCACCTGGAAGGCAGTAAGCGGGTATCTGTAGTCCATGGTGAACGTGTCCTTGCCAATCTTCCCAAACTGCAGCAACACCTTCAGGGCACCGCACCATACACACCAGCACTTGTGCTAGAATAACACACCTGGAAGGCCGTGAGTGGATATCTGTAGTCCATAGTAAAAGCGTCCTTGTCAATCTTCCCGAACTGCAGCAGCACCGGCTTGTCCGAGTCGTTCCCCGGCCCGCCCCCCTCTATCAGCTGAAAATTCTTCACTGATGCTACTGTCACGCGGCCACGGAAGTTGAGGCACCAACACTGCAAGGGAGTACGGGAAAGGGGAGGCGGGTAGGGGGTGGGAAAGGGGGGAGCAGCACCGGCTTGTCAGAGTCGTTCCCCGGCCCGCCCCCCTCGATCAGCTGGAAGTTCTTCACTGAAGCCACTGTCACTCGCCCCCTGAAGTTCAAGCACCAGCACTGGCAGTGTGGGAGGGGGAGGGCAGGCAAGGGGAGGCAAGGGCGGGATGAGAAGGGGGCTTGTCCGAGTCGTTCCCCGCCCCCCCCCCCCCCTCTATCAGCTGGAAATTCTTCACAGAAGCACCCCCTGTCACTCGCCCCCTGAAGTTGAGGCACCAGCACTGGAAGCGTGTATGGGATGGACAGGAAAAGGGGATGCAAGGGAGGATTGGAAGGGCCTTATTTGAGATGCTCCCCGGCCCGCCCTCCTCTATCAGCTGGAAGTTGTTCACCGAAGCAACCGTTACTCGCCCTCTGAAGTTGAGGCACCAGCACTGGAAGGCGAGGAGGGGAGGCGAGGGGAGGGGAGGGAGCGCTCGGCCCAATGTTTCATGATAGATTTCGCTTTCTAATCTGTAATTGCCTTCCTCAATACACACACACCTGCAGCTGCGCGTGCCACCGGGGAGGCTTGTTCCTCGATACCACAGTCTCTAGGGGCGCTCGGCCCATGATAAAAAGCTTTATATTGCCCTATACTCCCATATACTCCCTTATACTCCTTTGCACTCCTCCATATCCCCTTGTATCCCCTCACCTGCAGCTGCTCGTGCCATCTGCGAGACTTGTTCCGCAACGCCATGGGCTCCAGAGGCGCTCGGCCTCATACTCCCTTGAACTACCCTGTACTCCCGTGCACCGCTTCCCACCCCCCAGCACCCACACACATACCTGCAGCTGCTCGTGCCATCTGGGAGGCTTGTTCCGCAACACCATGGGCTCTAAGGGCGCTCGGCTTCATCTATTTCCATACGAACACCGCTTAATACTCCCCTGTACTGCTGTGCACCGCTCCTCATTCCCCAATAAACACACATACCTGCAGCTGCTCGTGCCATCTGGGTGGCTTGTTCCGCAACACCATGGGCTCTAGAGGCGCTCGGCCGATGCACCGCACACAGTCACACTCCGTACAGTCACCCTCAGTGTCACCCTCCGCATCTGCCTCTGCATTGAAAGCAGGAGGCGCAGCAGCAGGGGAAGGAGCAGCAGAAGCAGAAGGAGCAGCAGGAAGGGCGGCAGGAGACGGGGCAGACGAAGCAGCAAATGGGGGAGTCGCAGCTGCAGCAGGGAGAGAGGAAGGGGTGAATGGGGGAGTCAAGGGACCCGAGGGGAGAGAGGAGGAGGCGAACGGGGGAGTGACAGCCGCCGCAGCTCTGGCACCTGCTGCTGCTGCTTCTGGTGAAGCCACAGCTCTTGCTGCTGCTGCTTCTGGTGAAGCCACAGCTCTTGCTGCTGCTGCTTCTGACCATGCCGTTCCGCTTGCTGTTGCTGCTGATGCTGCTGCTGCTGCTGCTGCTGTTAGTGCCGCTTCTAGTTCCAATGTGGGCAAGGGCAGGGGCAGGGGCAGGGGCAGGGGCAGGGGCAAGGGCAGGGCGGCAGGGGGAAGCTCAAGGGCAGCAGGGGGAAGGAAGGGGTCCGCGGAGGCGGGGAAGGGGGAGATATGAAGGCCTTCGCTGCCG